TGTTTGAGGTCAGAGGGAACATAAATAGTCATTCCTACATGACTCATTCTGAATACTCTGCTAGACAAATTTTAAAATAATTCTAGCTAACCAGCACTGAAAACATTTTGGACATTGATCATTAATGTTCTACATGTTGGTTTGGCAAAACAGCTTTTCCCAACCTTTCCTAGGAGAAAACAAAAGCTTTGCTCAGACTGCCCCCTGCAGAACACACAGCAGTGGGGTTTGATGCCTCGGTTATTGTCAGCGATAGGAGAATCCAGAGGCAACATCACAGCAGTGAGCTTGTCCAGAACTGACAGAAATAAAGCAAAGATCAGCTAATAGTTATTTTTCCAAATATTTCAGGACCCTATTGATGGAGATGTGGATATTCATTTCAGGAAATGTCCCTAATATGCTGCTACTGAACTGCTTCTACAGTAAGAACAGTGTGTGGAAGCACAGGCCCTGCTAGATACACTGCAGTGATCCCATATGCTCCTTGTAATTCCCTTTTTCTTGGTCACAGTCAGTGCCCCAAACAAAGATTTACCAGCCCACCCATGGCTTTGTTCTCAGCTGCTAGCAAGGGTTTCAGTGAAACTTCACCAGGACTCTGGCCCTGACTGGACCTAAATATTCATTAAATGACAAATACTTTGAAAAACTAAAATGTAATGTCTTGTGACTCATGTCTTAGGTTTTCCTCTTATGAAAAGGTTAAAAACAGAAATGTGCTGTCAATGACTTACACATCATGAGCATTTGTTCAATTTTCACTTTCCCTAATAGGTCTGTGTACAGCAGCAGAAGGTTTCTCATGAAACTTCATGTAACTAAAAAGGAGGAGTTTAAATCACCTTTGAACAAATATGTTTTCAGGAACAAGAGACATGAGCATCCAGATACTTCCAGACACTGGTCAGATTCAGGGTAAAATTGCAAATCTGGGTTTGGGATGGAAAGAAAAAACATACAACAAGCATTACAAGTTCTGATTCCTTATAAAGGAATCCCTTCTTCCAAGCAGGGATTTAGGTTTTATGTATTTATTCAAATATCAGTTCTGGTAGAGCCATTAAGACTTGGATGTTGCCTCCAAAATCTTTTTCTATCAGATACTCAGTCCTCAGACTGCACCAGGGCAAAAGTTTTCCATTTGACAGCGCCAGTCGAGTAAAACACACAAAGGCAGGACATTTTCCTGATGGATACACATCAGCTGGGAAACACTGTTGTCTAAAAAATTAATTATTTCAAATTTAATGGTCCCAAGTAATAATAAAAAATTGTAGGTGTTTTTTTCCTGATGAAAATGTCAAGAATATAAACCTGTTTTCTCCACCACACAGTGCTTTCCTCAGAGACTACCTGATCCTGTGGGATTCTAAGTCCCACCACGTGAAAAGGAGTAGGAAGTTTCTTGGATATTGCTGACTCCTGTTTTCTTTGGCTGTTGAGCTGTACAGGTTTTAAGGCGTGCCAGACATTGTCTTCAGAGGAGATACTTGCCCAAAAAGGATCAGAGAAAAAATTTAATATTTTAATTACAGATTTGACACCCTTGAATATTTCAGAGAACTGGATTTTTCAGCTAGGTTCTTATGTATTGGGGAAGTGGAGGGCTGTTTCTTTCCCACCAAGAATTAAATACTCCTTGATTCAATCTCAGATCCCACAGTAAGATGACCTTTTTCCAGAGAGACCATAAATCAAATACTGATTTGATCCCTTTCTCTTTGTGAGATTACTGTCCTCTGTTTGGATCAAGAAAGAAACACCATGGAAGTATAAGAGCTGTTCTTTCTTCGGGCTCGTGCTTAGCACCACTTAGCAAAGCAGCATCACAGCCTCTGCAACCAAGTAATGCAGTTCTCCTATTGAGGAAAAACACTGCAATAAACATGCACTCATTTTAATCTTCCATTGGAAGATCCTGCAAGGCTCTTCACCCTGCAGAAACTCATACCAAGTAAAATCCCAGTGTCTTATTTGTTGATGATCACAATCATTTCCAGAGTTTTAGAATAAAGCTGACTGTCATTAGGAAATTGGGTGAAACTACAGAAAAGCCTGTTGGATGTTTGCAGCACTGTTTTTTTTTTAGTCCTGGGTAAGGACTAATTTCTGTGGAGGGCTCAATACCTTCAGTGCCCTTTCAAAGAAGTTGTAGCTGAGGGTATTTTGCAACTGAAATGAAGATTTCAGTGACTGACATGATTTCTTTCCTACTTGCACTTTGGTTATGAGAATGGGCCACCTTAATGTTTATGGTAATACGATTTCATGTGAGGTTTTGAACTACATTTATAGTCACATATATTTTTTAGCCTAAATATTAAAACTACAGCTTACTCCAAAATCTGGTTTATCATGTGATTTTATTGGGATATAATTTAACAAAACTCCAAAATTTTAAAGACAAGGTCCAGCTGCCTAATTTTTATTTTCTTTGAAATGTTACTTAATTTCCTAAGGTTCACTCTTTATTTTCACAGATTTTTCATAATATATTTCTAGGCATGGGCCCACTACTCCACCTGTGTTCCTTAGTGGCTGAGAAAAGATTTGTTTTAGAATCAGTACCATAATTATGTAATAAAAAGAAGGAAGGTTGAATTTTTATGTAATGCATAGAAGGGTTTATTCTTCCAATAAATGAAAGACATTACATCAGTGGAAATGGGGTCAAATGGAAACTTTATCTTCTACCTCTACCTAAATTTGCTACAGGTTTCTTAGCTGCGTTCCTGCACTGTGTCCCATTTGTAAAGGTTTTATTTTGGCAATTTTACTGCAGGAAGGACAGATTTTGCAGAAGTGGATTCTTTCTATTTTCAGTTTAAAAGTGATTCTTGGAAATCTCAGAGGCCTCCATTGCTTTAGAGACTGTTTATACAAAAGTCTGAATTCTTACTTTTATTTGAGGTGAGAACTATAACTATAATGTGACAACTTTAAAGTAGTGCAATGTTTTTTATGCTTGCAAATATTTTTTCCCTTATTTCCTATGAGAAATTTGCCCAACTCATTTTTGAAACAAGTTCTAATTTTTTGGTTACATTTTGTAACAGGGTATCCCTGTGTAATTTCTCTTTCATTATTAAAAAAATAAGCATATCTTTCAGCTGGACATTAGAAAATTATTTTGATATATTCAGAATTTGCTCATAGTTATTGGGATGGTAAGAGATGCTGCAGAAAAGATCCTAAACAACTCAGCTTATAACATCAATCCTTTTAGTACCATGAAGAATCTTAAGAAATGTTATATGAAATAAATGGGGCAATTAACACATTTCTCTGGATAATACTTTTATTTCGATATCTTATGGTCCACGTTATAGCCAAAATCTACTGTTGAAGAAGGACTACAGGGAGGTTTCCTTCACTCTTCATTATCAAGGATATATTTTTTGGTGTATTTAATTATTTAGAGATTGAAACACCAAAGTTGTAGACCTAAGTATTTTACATTTATGCCTATATCTCTGTAATAAGAAATGACATTACAAAGGAATGAAATATGCACTGAGTTGAAAATATATTAAATGTGAATGGAATTTTTTTTCTTTCTGACTGAGGCTATTTTCTGTTGACAGCAAAATGACCTTTGCTTCATACGTTTATTTGCCTCATTTCCCCTCTCTCAATACTCAAAGATTTCAACACACAAGCAGTGTAATTTTCTGTAATTTAATTTGAAATAATATATAAATAGATTTATGTTTAACTTGTAAATTAAACTTATAATATTGGCAGCAAAAATTAAGGAACTGACTGGTGGAGAGAAAAAAACAACTTCTTCCCTTCCTTGTTTTGTTCTAGTTCCTTACTTCCTCTGCCAATAATCACAATTCTTTCTTCAAAGGGAGCACACAGTTAGCCAGAGTCTGACTTTTCAGTTTTACTTTTGCATTGAACATATTCAGCAGTGCAACTCCAGAGCCTTGTTTGCTAGACTGCAGTGACACATGCCGTTATGATTCCTTAAATTACACCTCCACTATGCTAAGTAAAAGAGAAAACATTAAACAACAAACTCTTTTTCCTGACCTTTTAAAACACAAATACCAAAATATTTACCTTCCCTTTTGGAAAGCCCAAGGGCAGCGTGGCCCAGACATACAGGAACCATGGCACAGATGCAGGTGAACCTATTCATATATGCCTGGGGAGTGTCAGACTTCTGGCCCTGAGCTCTGCTTTGGAGCACAGAGAGGATCTACCTTTTGGTGAGCTGCCAAACAGCCAAATGACCAGAAATTCCCAGGTCATAGGGTGCTGTATTCCACTGAAATACAGCAGGACTGAGATGTTTAACCTGCAGTCAAAGATTGCATTTCGATTTTTCTTCTTCCCCTTAGAGATGGGTTTCCACAGACATGGGTTTGGTCCTATGGACACCTCCCACAGGCACAAAGCACCAAAGGGTTTTTTGAATTGGGGCAGTGGAATGTTTTCTCTAGGGCAGTGTGCTACATCACAGCCCTTTGTATTGCATAACTTTTGCTGTTGATTAAAATCAGCTTTATTCCCTATTCCCAGAGCTGTTGGGCTATTAACTCCAGACATCACCTTTGACTCTATGTTGCCAACTAAATTAAGACAAAAAGAAAGGTGAGGAGTGCCTGTATTACTTGCAAATGTGAATAAGTTATTGTAATGATATTTTTCTCCCTGCATGTGGCTTTTATTTGATACGTTTTATTAATTTCTGTTTTTTGAGCATCTGAATGCAGGCAATATTCAGCATTACTGATTCATAAGGTAGCCAAATAATCACTGGTTAAAATATGTGCACAAAATTCCTCCTCAGTCCAAATAATTTTTTCTCTCCAAACATTTTTCCCTTTCATAAATACAGTAAATAGAGTAATTTTATCCTGCTGCTTTTGGTCACAAGGAGTGTAAGAAGAAAACAATTAAATTGTGAGTTATGTTAGCTAAGAAATGTCTTCCCTTTCTGTTTTTCATGCCAACACAAACCTGTGACTGCCAATTTGGATCAAAAGGAGAATGGAAGTTGGAACTCTGCTGGAAGTATGGAATGGCACATCCTAAAAATAGAAGTGCAACAGGTATGCCTGTCAGCTGGTCACAGTCTTACCCATTCCCTTACCTGAATGAAACAATCTGGAAATGTTACTTTTCAAAAGATATTTAGAGAAAGACTAAGCGGAGAAGTAGAAATGTATGGGATGAGCAGGAGGAAATAAATGAAAATGCTGATTTTTACATTTTCTATTTCTGACTCTGTTTGCACCCAAAAATGGACAACTTGCCAGAAAAATATGATTTCTAGCTCTAATCATTCAAATATTTGTGAGGACTGTTGCTTATATAACAACCCTAAGTGTCTGAAAGAGCACATTTCTTTGAACTGTGCAGCTCAGATGGGCTGGTTAAACAATAATGGTAATTAATACAATTTCCTAAAAGAAAGAACATTCATCCACCAGTGTATTTTACATTAGCAGATGAAAAATTGCAATATCTTACAAACACAGATCGCTAAATAAACAGTAAACAATTGTATTCCAGCTTTTACAAGCTGGAAAGTCAAAGCAGAAAAATGTGAAGCTAGCCACACTTTGAATGCAGTTCCAGGAAAAAAAAAAAAATCAGAATCACTGTGTTATTTTTGTCTTGCGGTAATGGTCAGAAGTTCTTTTTCTGAGGCAGAAGAGGACCCCCATCAAGAATACATTAGAAATATGCAAAACTTTATATGATGCACAGAGTAAGTAAATAGTTCTAAGCCCACTTAGATAAACATCTTCAAAAATTTCAGTCTGAGGTCAGCTAATGGTAGGAAGCTATTTTTCCTCTCACTCTCCCTTTGTTTCATTCCAATCTAACAGGATGCTATAGCTTATGACATATGGTCCCTTAAATTAGGCTCTCCAAACCTTGTTCGTTCATCTCAGTGTGTGGAGCCAAAATGTCTATTAATAGGAAAAGCCTTGCCCTGGAAAAATGTGTATGCACCAGTCTGCATTGGGGAAATGAAGGATACGCTACAACAGGGAATAAAATTAATTTAATATGTATTATGGAAAGAACCACTCCAGTGTAATACTGCCAGACAAAGTGGAGAAGTGCTGTTAAATCTTTATGTCTCAGAGGTGTGGTGCATTTAGCAACTTGATGTCTGTGTAATCCAGCATACTGAGTTTCCAGAGTCATCTCCAAGTAATGGACAAGCTCTCCTCTGCTAGCAAAGCCCAGAGAGGAATAAACCAAGACCACCAGCTAAGGCGTTATGTAATTGCCATGGATATGAGCATTCAATGACCTCAGGTGCTGTGTTTAAATGAAAAGATTTAGTCAAAACCAAAAAGACTTGCATGTAAAAAGGACTTGTTAGTAAGTAATTTTTTTTCTCTTATAAAATAGAAATTCTAAAGCAATGCTATAATGAAAATGCTGACACAAAACAATGATATTAGAAATAACAATGTTATTTGAAATATCCAATAAAATTCCCACCTTCCCATGCAACATGTTTTGTTCAAGTTTAAAAAAAAATCAAAATAATTTAATATACTTTAAAATAATGTAATATATATAAAATGTATCATTTAACTCACTTATGGAAGTGAGTTATTGAACTTAGAGATTATTGCTATGTAAGAATAATATATATGTATGTAATTACCAAGCTCTCTTGATGATTTCAACAGCCATTCCTCTGCTTTTGAAAAATGTAATTTTGCAGCATGCTTCTATACATCATAGCACTGCAGAGATCATTTGCCTAGCCCATCACTTTGGCTGTCAAATGTAACACCCTTTTTCTATCAGATATAAGCAGATTGTTTTCACCTTCAAAGCCTGCACCTCATTATACCTATCATCTCTCATGCAGGATCAAGAAATCACTTCTTTCACTGATTAGCCCATGATGCCAGCCTCCTCCATTGACTTCTTAGATTTTCAGTCTCTCCGTCTGAAGCTTTATCTCATGCCATTCCTTACATTTGGAAAGTGCTCCTTCAGACATCTGTAAAGCTACCTCCTTATCTTCCTTCTAATCCTGTCTGTGAGGTTCCCCTGCCATTATGCCTTCAAAAGAAGTTTCAGAGTTTGGACTGAATTTGTCTAGTTATAATGAGCAGTTGCCAAAAAAAAGATTTCTGGATCAGCTTCAAATGGAGCACTCCTAAAGAGATGAAGATTGGTATTTCCTACTCAGATGCTACACTGTAAATTCTGTATGGTTACTGGTGCCTCGTTTTTCAGAGGATGTTCCCTTGCTGTTGTTGGGCAGAAATATATTTCCATTTGAAAACATGGGATGAATATAAGGGTGATATGTCTGGATTTTAGGAGCAACACGTCTGAAATAAGGGAGGGTGCCTTTGCCTTTTCCTTCATATGGCAAGTGTAGCATAGGAAATTGTGCTGTACTTTTGTGGAAATATTGATGGGATAGTTTTAATTGTGGTGACAAGTTTGGGGGAAGTTGGGGGCAGAATATTGCCTCTGCCTTGTTCAAGTTTCTGTTGTGGAAAGAATGAGTGGTCACAAGCAGTATTTCACTGGGTCACCATCTCAGATGAGAAGATTTTGCTTTGAAGCAATTACATTTTCAGCCTTGACCTCGAACACATTGGCATGGTGTGTTGTGTCTGTATTTTCATCTCCAGCAGCACTAACTCAGGACCAAGTCATCCCTTTACAGGAATTACCTACAAAGGAAACTGGAAACTCCACAGCATCTCTCTGTCATCCTTCCCTCCAGATGGTGCCTCCAAATCCCTTCTGAAGGCGATTGTGCAAACCAGCATGTAAGTTAGTTCTGTTGGTTTCATCTCTAATTATGGTGAAGATTTTGTTTCAGGGTGCTGGAAAGGTGCCTGCCTCCTTCTCTCCCTCACCTGTGTCTCCTGGCACTCAGCCCCAGCCATCAGAACACTCCCATGGCTCCTGAAAAAGCAGGAAGAACCAGTTTCCCCAAAGTTGCCAATTCAGATTTTCTTGAGCATCCTTTCTACAAGGTTTTCATCCCCCAATTCATCAGCATTTCCAACTGCTGCAGGACCAGCAGGCTCCTCCATTACTCTGCATGCAGGCACTCAGAGAAACCTTGAGAGCCCTCCATCACTGCGGAGCAGTTGGGCTCACATCTCAGTCTGGCTGAAATACTCTGAAAAATGCTGTGGTGTTCAAGTGATTAGACTGTCTTCCAGAGAAGCAGGGACTAGATCCAATTTGCAAATCTTTAACATATGGGATAACCATTTTTAAAACACCCTTTTAGCTTGCCTTTCCATAATTTTTCAGGAGTGGGTCTGCACTTTTAGAAAGTCAGGCACCAATGGGATGTAGATTGCAAGTCATAGTCTTGGTCAGAATTTCAGTCTGAAAACAACCACACTTGTGCAGATTTCTCAGAAACTGAAATAATTTCCAGACTGAACTTTTTAAACTAAGTTTCAGCATAAAACTGTATTTTTGTGGCCAAACTATAAACCTCCAAAAGAGTTTATGTGGAAAGGCTTAAGCTTTACTTATAGCTCTGCAATGTCTATGGCACTCAATGACTTGATGCTGAAGGCTATTAATCCCAAAGAAAACTTTCTTGGAAGAAGTTGAACGTTAGAGGTCAATGAGATCTCAGAGGAAACTGGACTGAAAACAGAGAAAAGCTGATTTTGTCCATGTAAATCAATTGTTACTGTTTCCTGTCTGAGAGAAAATGTAATGCAAAGATTGAGGATTTATGAACAGGAAAAGGGAGAAACTCTAAAGGTCTTGTAAGAAGTGATTAATAACATTGAGTTTTTTTAGCTAATGCTATTTAAAAACCATGTTCAAAAGCCACACTGATGGTTTAAGGAAAGGATAAACTATGTTCACTCACATGCCCTGGTTTAATACTTGTGGTTAATGTTAAGTAGTGATAGTGTAATTGCAAATACTGTTTTGTAAGAATTGACCTTCACCTTTCAGCAGAATTAAAACAATTAACAGACAATACGCAAAGACTTTTAAGAACATGGCCTAGAAGATTTGAAGAATTTTTTTAAATTGTATTTTGAAGCAAAAAATATGTTTGACAGATCTGTTTTGAGGGGAGCAGCAAGAGCATGAGGCTGCATTAGGCAGAAGTGTCCCAGTGTAGCATGAGGAGCTCAGTCCTGAGTTACTACCAGGGATAGCCACAAGCCCAAGTGCCATTAAGCTCATGTGGCTTAATTCCCTAGGAAGCCATCACGTTAGAGTTCCCCAAGTGGTCAAGACTCTGACATAGGCCTTGAATGGCTTCCTGTCATTGGAACTGAAGAATGCTTGAAAACAAAGCAATAAATCCTCTCCTTTGCTACAGACAAGTAAATGAGAAACTCTTTTGGGAGGCTGAAAGCAAAACGTAGCAAGGAAAGCTATTTTGAGTGTTGACTAAACGTCTTTGGGTAGGCTTCAGGCCCCTTATCGGTCTAGGCAACAGGATCCTACTGTGTCTCCTACCAATTTAAGAAATGTTTTTTGCAGCAGTTACAACAGAGAAATTGTCAATTAAAATAATAGTGATTGAGGTATTTTGAAATTTGTCTGCTTCTATTGAATTTATGCAAGTAAATTACTAGCAATTGAAGCTATGTATGTGGGTGGGCTTACAATCATGAATTAATCACAGCTAGCAATTTGTATGTCTCATTTAATGCATTTTCTTAATCTTGTATTGTTGTTCAGATTGTTCCAGAAAAAACAGGAATTTAAAAAAAACCCAAAATGTTTCCATGTGGAAAAACCACAAATCCTACTGCAATGGAAGCATTAACAAACTAGTATTTATGCAAGGTTGTATAGGGGCACTATCCAGCTAGTCTCATGGAATGTTCTACAGCATTCCCAACGTCACATGTTCCAAAGCTTGTCCTACACAAAGTGGTGCACAGGGCAGAGGAAGCACAGTGGATCTGTTCCTTCCCTCCTTCATGAAATGTGATGGGACAATAGAGTAAAGTGACTATCGTGCACGAGGAGGAAGACTTTGTATCACCTCCAAGATATGAATTCTGAAAGTGATTGGTAAATATTTTGGAGATGTCTCAGTAACTCATGAAGTGAAGATAGGTGATTCTGCTCCTGTAGACATTTTCTTTGATTTGCTAAAATTGCCACTTGTTTAAAGTGGTTAATGGTACCACTTGTCTGAGTGCCACCAGTAAAAAGTCAAGCCTGACTTTCCCACATTACTGCTTTAAGTTAATTTTGTGAGACTATTACAGCTACAAATTGTATCAGGGCACCACAAATTCACTGTTTACAGCTTCACTGTTTACAGAAGTATTTTATCATTTGAACAATCAAATGACTCATTTTAGTTACTTGTACTCAAATGTTTAGGATAGTTTTGTTATTTTAAATTTTGAAGTTTCAGACTTTTTTCTTCAGTGAAAGAAAAGAGATTTCAATGTGTCAGCAGAACTCCCCTCTGAATGAAAACATAGTTTCCAAACCAGTTCCCCTCTTGGACAAAATTCTTCTTCTCCTAATCCTATGAATGGCACAGTGAAAGCAGAGTGAAATCTTGGCAAGTCAGTATTTCCCCAGAAGGAGTCTCAGCCATTATGGACAGATATATAGTTTTTACATTCCATTAAAGCCAATAAACAAAACTGTCAGGATGGCTCATCTTCTAGCAGTCTTACAAGCAAAAAAAAAATTTTCAGTCATCAAAATCATTGGAGCAGTGCAGACTTTCCACATGGTGATACGGCAGCTATGGCACTGCAAAGATCTGCCTCACACCTTGAATTTCTTCAAGCATCTGTGACCAAATCTTCCCTTGGATAAAACAGGGATAATCTGTCTGACTCTTTTAAAAGGGCTATGGAATTTTGCCCCGGTGCTGAACAGTGTTCTGAGAATACAGGTCTGTATTGCTGATCTCCTTCTAGTTTCTGAAAGCTGGAAGCTCAGTCAATGAGCAGTGATGTAGAGAGCGTAAGTACCATGCCATTGATGACTGCAAAATGCACACGTCTATTCCTGATGTCTGTTTGACACATAAGTTTGGTACTTGTATTTTTAGTAACCATTAGTAAAGAAAATAGAAGAGAGAATATCAAAATGTTTAATCATGTGTAGTAAATTTCAATAAATGGTTCTTTATACACAGATTAGGACTAAAATGGTGTGCAAATAACATCTATCTCAATGCTGATCCTGGACACATCTCAGTACACCATTTGGTGTTCATTTGGGATTAGATTTCTGTCACCACTACTTTTCCTAACATACCTGATACCTAAAAAGACAAAAAAAAAAAAAAAAAAAAAAAAAAAAAAAAAAAAAAAAAAAAACAGTTATTTGTAAGTAAGTGAGATTGGGGCAGTATTTTGTGGCATCTTTTGTACTTTTGATTAATGAAAGGGAAAATAAGGTATGTTCAAATTGTAGATTGACTGCTACAGAGCTTTTCAAAGACATCTTCTGTTTTGCTAACTCTGTTGCACACCCAGGGCTAATATGAAGTTAGTGTTTGGATGCCATAGCATGCTCAGCATCTCAGACTGGCTTCTGTACTAATTCCTGCCAAGCAACAATTTTATACCTTCTTTTTTTTTTTTTTTTTTTTTTCCTATGCCACAGAATTGTGCCATTCCTTTGTATCTTAGTGCATAACATCACTGAGAGTACATATCTTTCAGTAGTCTATGATGACAAAGCTCAGGCAACTCAGGGAAACACAGAAAACAAAATTAGAAATAAGGACTTGAAAACACAGCTGGAGATACCCAGAGATGGATGCATCTAAGAGCCAGAGAAGAAATGTGACATATGCAAATGAAAAACAGTTTAAGCTGTTCTTCTGCAACTGTTTGACTTGGACTTTGTGACTTGCTATTATTTTCCTTTAGAAGAGTTTTAGGAAAAAAGTTTGATGCTTAATAAGCCAGTTCACAATAATCATATGACTAAAGTTGCATATAGAAGGTGCAGGAAACACCCACCCATGTAAAGATAGATGTGATTTACTCATCTAAATTAGTGCTTGACTAATCATGTCATGAAGAAATTAAGATTTCTGATACTACACTTAATCTTTTATTCATCAGGAATGTTTTGAGTCAGCTGATTTGTTTTTAGTTAAACAGAAGAGACTTTCTGGAAAGATAATAAATTAATTTTAATTAAAATTTTAAAAATAAACTCTTGTTTTGCAGAACAAATACAAGAGATTCTGTGAGCAGCCTTCTCTACAGAAAGATGGACTTCTATCTCAGAGCTGTTAAATAAGAGAAAAATTAGGATTAGTCCCATCAGTTCTCAACACTAAAATAATGCCTAATAATGCCTCATTTTCCAGTGATAATTTTTGTAAGTCAAAAGAAGCACCTTTTTGGCATTTTCTCTTTGCAATCAAATTCTCTATGGTAGTCTTTATTGTGACCTTTTCACTAGAGAAGAAACACTAAAAATCATTAAAACTGATATTGTCACATAAGAAAATACAAATGTTTAATAGGAGCCCATTTGAAAATGTTTATTGTGATTTTTTTCTCCCCTCAGAGTAAAGCAATAGCATAATACCCAGCTGCATGATAATATTGGCAAGCAAGGCCATGAATTTCAACTGCAAACCCTAAACACTGAATGTGCTGTGCTTTTTAAAGAAACCCCCTTTTGTATGAGATATGTAATACCCTTTTGTCCTGGAGCAGTTTGCATAATAATAGTTTTCTTTACTTATTTGTTGTCATGTGATGGAGCTGCAAAGTGAGCTACACAGCAACAGCATAAGAGACAATTTTCCATTTTTCTCTATTTTTTTCAGAGATTTTCTTGTTTTTTAAATGTAAATACTTCTATCTTCAGAAAAGAAGATTAGTTAGTTATAAATATTTCAGACCTAACTGTTACTTTTCTTAATATGTGCTGAACTATTTGTGCTTTTCTTTTTCATAAGAAGAAACAGGAACATTATTTCCTTTGCATTCACTCCTGAAGAGCCTGAAGCATATTCAAAAAATTGGGCATAAGATCAACTGGTATAAATCAGCATAACTCTATTCAGAAATACCTCACTCAAGAATTTTACAGTAGAACTACTTGAAGAGAGAAATCAAGAAAAAAATATGTTACTAACTGTATAATTTATGTACTAACTGTATAATTTCTATCAGAATTGTGCATGTGTTAGACTGCACCACTGAGATGGAAGGTAATTCCTGAATGAAGAGCCATCTTTAAAACTAGCTATCTAGGATGCACCTGAGACGAAGCATAACACAAAACTGTAGGACTTTTCTGATGAGATTTCCTGTGCAAATTTTTGTAAAGATTCCTCTTGGGCTCTTCAGTGTGTTCTAGTCTGAGTAGTAAGTAAGGAATACAAAGGAGATACAATGACATTGAGGTGGAGCTCAATCTTAGTCACAGTGAAATCTAAGAGGAGGACTAAAGGCAAGGGAAGTTCCTCAGCTCATGTACAGTAAACTAGCCATTATTCTAACTGCTGCTATCAGAAGGTTTTTCCTTTGAAATCAGCAGAATTATGCCAAGTTATTGTAGTTGTGAATTTGGCCATGAGATTACACATAGTTTTGAACCTCTGGCCTGTAAGCACTGCAAAGGGACCATTTCCAAGTAATCCCTCCAAAGTAACAAAAGAAAGCAATGCTATTACCCATTACCTCAAATTCAGAATGCAGAGAGGGTTCATAATCTTACTTGGAATCATTTAGAGGTTTGCAAAGTGAAAAAGGCCAAAACCAACCGGGCTAATTATTTTGGAGAAGTTCACAAGATGGATAAACATATAACAATACATGGTCAGATCTGAGCACTGCAAAGAATACCCAGGTAGAAAATAAAGCCTTCAGAGCCTGAGTAAATTATTTAATAGTTCCACATGTTAAAATAAGAGACTATTAGACATAGACATTCTTCAAAACTTAGATTAATAAATCAGCATATCCCTTATGAAGCAACCATATTTTACTGTTTTCTGAAATATCTAGGATCTGTATTTGCCAAACAGCTCAACAAGAAATGTTCCCCGTTCCAACCAGTAGAAATTAATACCAGAGACAGAAATCCTTTCACTGAAGCCATGGAGGAAGACACACACTCCAGGTAAGACAGTATTATAATGATTTTATGTACTGTAAATCTTTTAATCTCGACTCTCACAATTGAGCCATGAGGTTCTGTCCTCTGAGAAATAAGAGTTGCTTTATATCAGTTGGATACAGGATCCTCTTAATGCACCGCTGGCTGAACACCATGTCTTACACCCTGTCTTAGTGGCAGAGAAATATATTAGATTAGATCATTCCCTTTGCCTAGGGACCCTGAAAAAAGTATTTCAGGAGGAAAAAGTTCAGTGGAGCTTTCTGAAATACTTTATTAGAAAGGTACAGCCCATCCTTTACTTATTATGTCATTATAAGGCACTCTGAGGTTTTTTGGGAATAAGTTCTTGTGACTCATAGTCATCATCTACCTGTCCTTGGGATGCCACTCTTTTATCCACTTTTCTTGTTCCACTCCCCCCATTTCTGGGGTTCTGTGATTTTTTTCTGCTTCCTAACAGATGTAGCAAGAACCTTATGTGCTCACCACGTTCTTTTTAAATTTCTTAGAAGTGTTGAAGTTTTTGTTCACAGAACACTGAATAGGAATTAAATTCTTCTGTTAAAAAAATACCACAACTTTTCAAATATGTCACTTTTATGTGACTATTTTAAAGTGATGCAGATGGAAAAAATGGAGGAATCAGCCATGGGGCTTATTTGATTTTCTGAAACAACTGTTGCTTAGTTTGTGAGGTAATGAAGTCTCTACTAAAAGCACTACATTCACCTTTTTCCTACTAATAATCCTTGTTCAGATGATTTGGCAAGTCTATCCAGGTATTGCATGGTGTGCAGCCTTTTTCTGATACTTTGAGACAAGTAATTTTTATTATGTGGGAAGTATAAGTCCATTCCTGGCAAGCATAATTCAGTTACATTCTGATACTGTGCATTCGGATTTGGAAAAGCAAATATTTCCTAGTGCTAGCTGCAGTGGGTAGTGTTGCAAGATAATGACAGACTAAGAGAAATTTACTCCTGTTCTTTTCCTGTGACAACTCAGTAAGAATGCACTTTCAAGGGAAACTAAGCATTTTAGTGTTTTGTGGCATCTGTGCATGAAAATTCACCACAAATAGTCTTCTGGTGATCCAGTCACTGAGAAATACTCCCAAACAGCCAAGACCTGAGTCTAATGAATTTAAAAGCTTATACTATGTTCTTTGGTTACATGTGCTTTAAAACAAAAGGTTTATTCTCACATGTTGGCATGTCTTTATTGGCATCATTTATTTACTTTTTATAGGAGTGAGAGCATAACTACTTTTATGTCAGCACATTTGATTGTGTATGACTGACTTTGACACTTACAGGGATCTATTGTTGGTTAGGAGGAAAAACAAAATTTCTGTAGAGTGTTTAGTTAACTCTCTGTTGAAGTTAAACAAGACATATCTTTGGAAATCTCTTAAAGAATTATTTCTAATGGCACCACTGGGACCCTTGCTTTGCTTATAAAAATATATGTGAATTTATAAAGGACAAAGATACAATTATCCCAGGATAGATTCAGGAAAAAACATCATACCTCTTTCAGAGGAGGTACACAGATATGGAAAGCAGCATGGGCAGCTGGCTTTTATTTCCCATATGAGGCATATTCTTCTACCACTTTTGATGGTCAAAATTAATTCCCTTTAAATCAAGGTATTGTATTTCCTAAGTGGAATTAGTCCTTATTCATGTAAGTACAAGACAAGGAACATTCTTAGCCAGGATTTTAATATTGTCGGTGATGAAACTCTGAATGCTTGAAGTCCCTCAGAATTCTTAGCTCTTTGAGAGACAGACTCTCAAAGTCTGCCCCAGTTTAATCCAAGAAATTACAAACTCAGTCTCATTGTAACAAAAGAAATAATATTCATGGGCATTTTTTTATTTTCTAGATCAAGTGTTCTGTCCTCTACTTTCCCACTAAAGCTTTTCTGCAAAGTTCTTATAGAGCTGAATAAACCTTGTTAATGTTGTTAATTACATGTTGTATTAAAAACACATCTGGAAATTACATTTCTCACAAGTTGGTGTTTAATTATCAACAATTATTTCTCTTGACTCCCCAGTGAGCTGCTTATGAAGATGGAGGGACTCTCAGATGGGCAGAACTGAAGTCTGAGTTGGAAGAGGATCTTTAAAAGATCCTCAGTTCTCCCAGCATCTTTGTGTATATAAGCCTGGGGTGTGGTTGTCCTTCTTTACACCTGGTCTCAAGCATGAATTACTGTAACAGCACCTCCCCTGACAGTGAAGTGCTCCCTCAAGAGATGTGAGCTTATTGTCTGGGTACTGCTGCTAGGAAAAGCAGCTGATCAGGGGGCCAGGGTGGCAGCCAGTTGATGTAATACATGCTTGATAAAGCTCTTATCAGAGCCTTGCACACTTTCAGGAATGCTCACAATGCATCTGGATTTATCAATATGAAAAAAGCCCCATTCTTTCTTAATTTCACTCACCTGTTGGAAGCTGGCCCCACAGAGCTGGGTATTAGGAAATGCCGTGGCAGGAGTGTCTTCCCTCTGTAGCTGCTGTGGTGATGTGAGCAGGGCAGAGTGCTCTGAGCTGCTCTTCTCCAGCCCTGCAAATCCTTTGAAGGCTTCTCAGGTGCTCCCTGCAGAGAATCATCTCACTCTGGCAGAAACAGTAGAAAAAAGGCCATCAGGACTGAGCTGGGGACAAATCTCTGGCATGATGTTCAACTGCAATTTTCTCTTCCCAGGCTTTCAGTAGGGAACCACATTCAGGGAGGAGAAGGATGATTTTATTTAGCCTCTAGATACTTTTGATTAATGCTATGTAAGAATATGAAATAAAATGCAATCCCTTATTTTTTATAAAACCTCCCATGTTAATTATTATTAAGCAAATCATGTCATTTCCTTCAAATCCTTATGCAGCAAACAGCTTCCATCAGTCAGAAGGGAGTAATTCTTAAACAAAAGACATTCTTTAAAATTACATTAATTTCTCTGTATTGCCAAGAAAGATGACCAAAGGAAAGCCTTTAATATTGGAGAAAATTCTAAGAAAGGTGTTTGCTAGATACATAAGTGGCTTGCTGATCCTTGATTTAGCATCACTGCTCCTTTTTGCAGCTGCTGTGTAAAATGCAGATTAGCTCTCAGACACCTTTCAGGAAGGATTTGATGGATGGCCCTGGGTTGCCCTAGCAGCCCCTACACCCTTAAGCTGAGTGATTACTGAAGCAAAGGGGTGGCACCCCCCCTTAGCCAACCTTGATAGTCTCTATATACCTTGGCACTTTCTGGCCTTTCAAATGATTTTTCAAAGCCTTGGCCACGGGGGTGCAACTCAAGACACCCTGTTACATGCACCTCTCTGAGGTGGAGGGACCATTGCTGTACTGGAGATAGGAGCAATTACATGCTTTTAAAATTTAACTGGAATGATACTGGGATAAGTAATTTTGTAAGAATGTAAACAATGTGAAAAGGAGAAGGTGATGTGCTGATTATCCTCAAATAAGTGAAGCTTTCCCATATGTAAGAAGTTCTACAAAGGCATTCTGGTCAGCCTTCCAAAATCAACTGTTAAATAGATTTTAACTGCTACTGCAAAGTTTATAACTTTAAAGACTCTGGGCATATTTGCCCACACAAAGTTTTGCATCCTCATGTCTTTGATCTACTGAATCACCAGTCTGATGCTTCACCAGTCTAATTATAGTAGAATAATTATAGGCCTGATTTTTTTTTTTTTTTTGGGGGGGGGGGGAAGTAGGGGGGCAGGGAAGGAGGAGATTGTTTGGTTTTTTTATTATATCAAATTCATCTGTCGCAGTCTTAGTCATGAAGAGTTGGCTGGAACACACAAGAACTGTGGAATATTTGGGTTTACTAATAGCTTCATCAAAATGTACCACTATGGTATCAATTTTGTCAGGGACAATTTTGTAACTTGGAAGATCCTTTGTAACCTTAAGAAAGTTCACAGAGTACAGCAGGGGACAGGGCAGAGGAAATCAAGCAGAAAATGCAGATGCACACATTACACTTGGGGAGGTTATAGCAGCTGGGTATTGTATTCTGCTGATTTGCAAAGGAACCAGTTTATGTATCAGCTTAAAGATAATTTGGTCATCTGTCACAGGACATCTGCTTCCTGCAAACTGACTCTATCCTTTCTTTTCACTTACAGTCCTGACCATTGAACCACTGTGGTTTAATTATGCAAAACTGGGGTTGAAGATTCAAGATATTGCTCAGATTGTTCTGCAATAAACTCTTCTGATTCAACAGTGTCAGCAGGAAGGAGCCCATGAGTGCCAAACTAACCCCATCTCTGCAGCCAGTTGGGCCATCACATGAAAGCAGGATTCTTGCTTCTCAATTACTCAGCTCTGTTGTCCAGGTGATTTTTTGGATGTGTGACTGTTCTACTGTCTTTGATTTCCCATTTATACTTCTTGCTAATTTCTTCATGGCTTGCAGAAGGCATTAATGTCTTCTCTGCTCCTGCAGTCCCCACTCACATAAAAGCTTCACCACAGTATGCCCTTTTATACCTTAGTCATTCTTGCTTACTGCTCCACAAAGGACATAGCTGATCCTGGGAAATCTCTTTCTCTGGCATGCTGATGTATTGTGCTTAATGTATTATCAACAATGACAGAGCTGCCTCAGGCAACTCCAGCAACACAGAAAGCATAGGGAGTTTTATACAACGGTTCTTTTGGAAAAAAGTGTGTAACCCACACAGAAAACTTTCTCCCTTTGGTTTCCTGCAGGTCGAAGCAGCAGTTGATGCTACACAGAAAGACAAGCCAAGGAGACCTTGCTCAGGTAAATCAAATCTGAAAATAGTGGTAACTATGCTGGAGTTTATTTGTGCTGTCCGTTCATGTAACACTGCAGGAGCTTTATGCAGCACACACAGACAGCAAGTTCTAGAAGGGACCCGAAAGGGCAGCCCTGCTCTCATTTCCAGGGCTGTGCTGTACATCACTGCTGCTACTGCATTTGCATGAGAAAGCAAGAAAGCCTTGTTGAAAGGTTGCACGTGCTAATTAGTGTGGGGAAATAGAAGGAGGCATTTCAGAAAAACTTCACATACCTTGCACACAGTGCAGGTCATCTCGCATTTATATTTGTGCTCCTACAGTTGCAAGATGTTTCAAGTCTGAGAGACAGGGATGCTGTCCCAAACAGATTTTTAAATTGTTTTTCTCTTTAAAAAGTCCAGAGTGAGTGAGAGTGAGTGTTTTTCTTGACAAACTGTTGGCAGTTCTGTAATTCTGGGCATTATGAGTGCTAGCATAAATCCCATACATGTGTTTCTAAACTGAGAGTCCAAATTAACCTTATTTCCTGATCACAATGTAAAGAATTATTCAATATTCAGAAGGAAACCCATCTTTCAGCGAGTTTTACTTAGTTTAGAAACTTGTAATGAATAGGAATTTTTAATCTGTTTGAAATGTACTTTCAAACTGAGCTCTAGCTATAACCGGTCCTTCTGACTAGCTGGGTACAGTTGGAGTGCCAGCAGCTAGAAATACAAGTGCACAGTGCTCTTCTGTCCTGACAAGAAACTTGAAATCTCTCTACTCTGGAACTCAGCCAGAAATGTTCTTGTATGCCTTCTCTCCTGACCTCAGCTGTCGCAGTGGCTCCCAGCACCATGCAGGAAAGCATCCTGGTTTTCCATCAGACTCCATTTTGATATACCAGGGAGCTGAAGAACACAGGTTTTTGAAACACGTGCAGTGCTGCGTGTGTTTTGTCTCTACTACACCATGTGTACACATCACTGTCTAGGAAACTGGTACAGATATTTTTTGGAGCTGAGGGAAAGGGGGGGTTTATGAACTACATCTTTTTCAAAAGCAGACCATGCAGAATGCTGCTCAAATTGCTCACAGGGCTGAGAGAGGTGTTTGGTAGGCCACTGTTGCATGGCAGAAGCATTCCTCCTCCATCCTGGACAAAGCTTATACTTAGAAAATTATACAGTGAAAATGAATCTGCAGCTGACCATTTAATCAAATTTAATTTTTTTTTTTTTTTACATGCCTGTCCCTCCTTTATCTACTACCATGGTGAACAGAGGCAAACTTGGGCACTGCAGTGGGACAGAGCAGTGTTTCATAGGACAAAAAGCATGCCACCAGTCACGTATTTTCCCTCTACTTGTTTCATGGTGGGGGCCATCCCTCTTTTTGCTATTTCTTTTACCCTGGGCTCAGGAGTCAGTATGAGCAGCAACTGGCCTTCACAAATGTGCTAAGGAGGAACCTCTTGGGATGGCTTCTCAACATGCTTTATCTTTTGCTGACAAATTGGTGTCAGGGCCAGAACTTAATGAAGTCTTCAGAGAAAATTTTTCAGCAAATCTGGGGATCTCAAAGGTGTGGACCTGCAGTGAAACCAGAGTAACACAATTTATCTACTTTTGCTCATCTTCTGAAAGGCTGAAAATTCAGCTTTGCGGCAAACTGTAAAATCACCTTTCTAGCTGCACCCACTTTGTTATTTTTCAGGTTTCCTTACATTCCAAAAAGAGAGCCCAAGTCACTAGCTTGGAGTAATTTGAAGTTAATCTCCCACTGATATCTTCATGAGCATCTCTGCTACACCCCTCAAGAAAATGACCCCAACAAAGCTGTACAAACATGGTGTGTCTGTGATTCCATTTCCCTCTGGACTGTGGAGCTGGATTCATGTCACCAGGTAGGTGCTCCTCTTTTTCCAGCAGGACCATAACAAAGTTTGCTCCCCCGTCTGTTGAAGAAACTCAGGAGACAAGACGTCGTCCCAAAGCATTTCATTTCCAGTGCTGGACTGATGTTTCTGTCACCAAAGAGAGCTTCCAGTGCTTGGGTAGGACCTTTTATGGGATTGGCTCATGTACCACAGAACTGCTTTGCTTCCCTCATTCAGATGTAGGCAGGACAAGCAAATGGGCAGCACTGGGCTGTTGAAGACTGGGACAATAGCTGTAGAAATAGGGCTGTCTAAGGTAAGTTACTTTTCCTGAGCATTAGCAATTTGGAGGGAAAATAAAATAATGTCTTGAGTCTGGAAATATTAATGTAAACTTGCCAAATTTGGTTCTTTCTACTGAAAAATAAGTGAGCAGGAATATTTTCCTTACTTCTAGGAGTCAAGGAATTTTTCTCCATATGAAAACAGATAATTTGTCAAAGGAATTGGCCGCACTAATCTCCTGGTAGAAAAACACCCACTTACCAAAAACCAGAGGCCCATTGGCCATCTCAGTCCATAGACTAGAAACTGAATGCACAACTAAAATCAGTAATTGCTGTCTGATAGATTTATATATATCTATATATGGATACAGAAGTTCCATATGGTGTTGCTGCTGAGCCAGGAGCTGGGGAGCACTGCCCTTACAGCACCCCAGAAATGGGGCTGCTCCCTCTGGCTCTGAAGGACAGACCTCAGCTGGCCAGCATCAGCAGGAAGTGCAGATTCACTTGCATAAATACAGGTACTGATCTTTGAAAACTGCTGCTCTGAACTGCCTCCTTTGCACCAGCAGTAAAACAAGGCAGTAGAGTTAGTCCTGGCTGGTGAGGAGACACAAGTCCTACACATAAGTCCAGCTTTGTTACTGGAGAAGTGTTACTTGCTCAGATGTTGAGGGAGGAGGGCTTAATTCCTGTTCATACCTTTTGTTTAACTTGCATAAATGCACAGTAGGTCTTTGTAAATCACCTTCACAAGATGTATTTTCTGTCTTAAAATTTCATGTTGTAATGAACAGTCAAGAAATCCAGATGTGCTGTTACAATCAGAGCATTTTAAAGGGGCAGATGTTCTAGTACCCTCTCAGGACATTTCTGTCTCTTTGGTATTGTTTAATGTCAAGGCACTTGATTTTCTCAACATCATTGGGTAATTTTTATGAAACAGGCAGCTAGATACAGTAAATGCTAATGTGCAGCACCAATCCTTTTCTTCTGATTCCTATTCTGGTTTTATACATAACCTGTGCAATTAAATTTTTACATTAAACAGATTCTTTCTTTGAAAGCTTACTTAGCTTTCAAATTTAGATTTGAAAAATACATGAAAGGAATTAAATTAAATGTTTACTTTGGATAGCACACCGACAAACAAAAGGAAATCCCTTGCTGCAGGATATTGCAGTCACAGGTCACGAATGTTTAAGCAGGAGTTACTGCCATCCAGAGGAGAAAAGCCATAAGCTGCCGTATTTCATTATTTTTTAAGCATGGAAAGGTAAGCCTAAATGGTTCATTCAGTTTCTTTCATATTAAGGAATCAAAGAATATAGAAATATTATAAATGTAATATTTTAAATGGATCTGCAACAGAAAGCACCCAGGACCCCCAGAGGTTGCTAAATCAGGGGACTGGGAGATGCTGTGGGTTGAAGGGATTATTTTCAACTCTTAATAACCAAACTAGGAAAAAAAACCCTATGTGTCCAGCTCCGAAAAAAAGGGTCCCTCCCTTTTCAAACCCCCTTTCCCACAAAAGCACAGTAGGAAACAAAGAAATGAGTCATTTGGGGAGACAGAAAAGGGGAGAATGAGAAATTCAGCATGTCCCTGAAAGCAAACAAAAATAAAAGTTCTGAGCTGAAGGAGAAAAGAAAATCCGAGGGGGAAAAATATATTTGAATTTAGTGTCTATTTGGGCAACCCATGGCCAATCGCAAACTGTAGAAAATCGAAGAATGGCAGTTCATTTTGTGCAAAAAACAACTACAATCTTCCCAGGACAGGTCTTTTTGAATATCTCAGAGAAATTGGAGGTCAGGATCCTTCTAAACTTTATTTCTTCGATACCTTTTTCTTCATCAGGAACTAAAGTCCAGGTGCTCGTGTCTCTCCTCAGGCCCATGCGGGATGGGAGGAGCGGATGCAGCCATTCCCCATTCCCCACTCCCCATTCCCCATTCCCC